TGAGCGCGCGGGACACACCTAATATTTTCAGTTGGTAGGAAATTTTGAATTTCGCCCGGGTGGCGGCCGAAGCCTACTCTTATCGATTTTAGACCACAAATGGATCTTTAACGTGCGCAACTTACACACGGGCCCTCCGAGATTTTTCGCCCTTGTCCGAGAAGGCTAGGTGTAGATCTTTCCTACCAGAAGATCAGGGGTGTGGCAGAAAGACAGCAGTAAGGAGGAGCCAAGGAGTAGCAGTAGAAAGGCTGCAGAAAGAATCAGGAGCCCAGAAGAAGGGGCTAAGGAGGTGAGGGGTATAGGCAGAAAGTGGAAATGAAAGCAGACAACAGAACATTGCTAGAGACCAGGAAAGGAAGTGAAAGGAGACAATATTAGAGAAGAAAATGTTTCGGTCGCTACCCGGATTCGAACCCGGGACCTTTGAATGAGAGGCCAACACCTTAACCTCTAGGCCCCGAGAGCCCCCCAGTTGGGTTCTCTTGTTTGTCTGAATGTTTACGACGTTTTCTCTAAGGCCTTATAGATCTAGCTGTATTCCTACCTCCCCCTCTTTAACATGTTTCTGTCTCGTTTTGGTTTTCCCTCTTATAGTTACGGCATTTACGGCACTTGCAACACGATAAGGTCACGCAAGTGTCAAAATTTAGAGGAGCAACAAGAGAGCACTAAACACAAAAAGAAGAATAGGTAATATGGACGATAGATGTATCTTTGGAAAGAAGGAGGAAATCACACCAGAACGCCCACCAACCACCCGCCTATCTATCTCTATCGATATCTCTCTCTCTTTCTTTCTCGTTCGGTCTGTCTGTTTCTACTACCACTTCCAACTGAACTCTGATGTGATTTGTAGTTTTTGTAAGTGCTGAAGACTAGAGATGTTACAAGCGAGGAACAAATACCAAGAAAAAAGGAGAGAAAAGGACGATAGATATTTGATAGGACAGAAGGAGCAAGCCACGGGGCACCCTCAAACCACCCACTTATGTGAAGTGGTAGTTGAAAGCGTAGGTTTTTCCATTTCTCATTCGGGGTAGCAAAGTATAGGAAAAAATACCAGCTGGGAAATAAATATGAACATTTAAAGCGTCACTTATATGACCTTATTGTGTTGCAAGTGCCGTAAAACACTTACCACAACAAACAAAGCAAACTTATAAAGTGAACATTACCTTGTTTATAAAATGTGATGTGACAAATCTCACTCGGTGATGAGGGTGTGTTCTCCTATAAACTCCGTGGTAGACTGATCGTGCACACACTGATTATTACACATGGGTAATGAGGTTATCACAGCTGTGCGATATCTCTGTGGTGGGAGCGTCACGCTCAACCACACACACACACACACACACACACA